CCAACCAATAGAAACACTTTTGTATCAAAGTACCATCGTACCATCGTACAAACGGGCTTACAGCGGCACGTTCATCTGGCACCAAAAACGCAAAAAATTTCAGATCTACCACCTGGTGGCGGAAATGAAGGATTTATACACAAATGTGAAAATCTGCCCGTTCATTCCAAACGAGCAGAAAACGGATCAAGTGTATTGCGACTTGGAACTGATGGACGCCCAGAAGCTGATGACAAAATCGGCCAACCATCTGGAACTGTTGCATGTATGGGAAGAATGGCACGATAAAACTGGTCCTCCGATGCGCAATAAATTCATGCGATACGTGGATCTGGCTAATCAAGCGGCGCAACTAAACGGTAGTTTATCAAGGCGGAAACTACATAAAAGGGATTAATAGTTTGGCTTGCCAAGGCTTTGGGAACGCGGGTGAAGAAATGGGGTCCATCTATGAAGCAGACGATTTTCAGGACGAACTAGCGGAGACCTTCCAGAAAATCCTGCCGCTCTACAAGCAGCTGTTTGCGTATGTGCGATCGAAGCTGCACAAACATTATGGGCCGGACGTTGTTAGGCCCAATGGGCCCCTACCAGCGCATATTTTGGGCAACTTATGGGCGCAGGAATGGAGCAAGATCTACCACATTGTTGCCCCGTATCCAGAGTTTGGCAACATTGATGTGACCGATGAACTATTGCAGCAAGGATTCACTCCTTTAAGGCAATTTTTTACTAGTTATTTATCGAGTTTGAGGAACTAAAAAATGGTCTTTGCTCGTTTAAAGGATATTTCAGATGACCGAGGAGTTCTACACATCAATGGGGCTCAAGCCGATGCCGCCCGAGTTTTGGAGGTTTTCAATGATCGAAAAACCCAACTCCCGAAAGGTGCAATGCACGGCCAGCGCATGGGATTTTTGCAACAAAGTCGACTACCGGTGGGTGAACCTGAACTTCCAGAAATCGAGCTCAAACTTGCACTTTGCAGGATCAAACAGTGCACTGAGGTGAACATGGACAACCTGGTCACCACCTATCATGAGATGGCTCATATTGAGTACTACTTGCACTATGCAGGCCAGCCCTACTTGTACAGAGATGGCGCAAATCCAGGTGCGGGAGTTAAGCTAAAGATTAGGTGCTCAATCAATGCAGGAATTTTCGCGATTTTTCAGGATTTCACGAGGGCGTAGCCAATGCTGTGTTGCTATCGGTATTCAACCCGAAGCATTTCTACCGCATGGGCCTGAGCAGTAACAACACGGAAGTTTACGAGCGCAACATGAACTTCCTAATGCTGATGGCGTTGAAGAAAGTTGCGTATGCCTCATTTGCTTATCTGGTGGATCAGGTACGGAAAAAACCGGGAGCAAATTCATATCGACCGGGACCTAAAGACCCGAAAATCAACTAGGCCTGGGTAACACTGTGTTGAGTTGCGCTATTGAGTTGTTGCCGCTCTGAGTTAACGGCAGGGGCGGATCCAGCTTTAAATTCAGGGGGGGTTGTGTAGAAAAAATCCAGTCTTCTGTTGT